CTCCTGGATCAAACCTTCTGCCCCGTCGACTTCGCGCCGGGCTGCCAGCGTCGCCTGTTGGGCGTGGCCGGGGACTTCGCTGCTGGTCTCCTCTTGTATTGCGGACAAGGCTGATGGTGATCCACCTTCGGTGGTGCTGGCGGTGTCCTGGAGAACGTCGATGACGCAGTCGTCGAGCGTCCGGTCCAGGTCCTCTCTGGCGTCTGTTGCCAGTGGCGCCTCATGGCCCAGGATAAACTAGGTGATGCGAGCTTCCTCCCAATGCTCGCCGATGAGCTGGTGGGCGTCGAAAGCGACGCCGTGGAAATGGATTCGCTGGGCGGTGGTGTACTTCCCAAGGAAACTCCAGATGGTCAGGCTGCAGGTGCACCCCAAACTGCTGCCCGCATATTTCTGTCCGCGTATGAGTCATGCAGCGCGGGCGTCGCGTAGTTGAAAGCATCTGCGGGATAAGCGGCGCAAGGCTTTGAGGGCGTCTTAGCGTTGTCTTACCTGCTCGGCGAGCTGCGCGCCCAGGGTGTCCTCTCCGTGGCCGAAAGTTCTGGCCCTCGAGCCTGGTGTCATGGGCTCCGGGCGGTCCTCTACGCGGTCCCAGGCCATGCCTGCTCGCGCCATGCCGATGTCCATCTTGTCGAAGACTTCCCATGAAAGCCGGGAATCTGGCTATCTGCAGACCATCTCGGCTCGGCGGTACTTGGCCGCCACCTTGCCTCGAACAAGTCTACGAACGTGACTGTCCCAGGGCCGGCCCGGCCAGACGCGTCCTTGGTGCTTGGCGGCCCGTGGATCTCCACCTGGCCGCCCGCGTTGAAGCGGCCCTCCCCAGACTCGGTGGTGCGGGCCCGAGGGCGCGGCTGACGCGCGCGATCGATGTGGCCTCGATCATGCGTTGCAGGGCTATCTCCCAGATGCGCCGCCGCAGTCGGTCGCGCTGTACTTCCCCGCCAGCAGGAGGCTCGGCTCCGGCGACGCAGTCGCCGGATGCCTCGCCCTGCTCGTCTACTTCGAGCGGCGGCAACGTGGGCAGCTTCCGCCCGAAGACAACGCTGTGTGGCGTAACGCCGCTCACGTGGGTGAGGCCGTTGCCAGCAGAGATGGTATGTAGTAGCGCGGGGCCGAAGTTCGCTGCGATGCCTTGGCGATCCAGCTGCTCCTCTTTGGCGTGAAGTGATTGTCGTAACATGGCCCCGCGCCGCTCGACGAAACGTGCGTGGTGGCGCGGAGCGCGCATGTCAACCTGTACTCCTCTCCTCTTCATCTCCTCCACGAAGTGTGCTGAGGTCATCCCGCCCTCGCCGTCCACGATCGTGGTCTCCATCGAGCCGAAGGGCTGGATCCGTGGGCTGTCGATGGCGGCTAGCAACGTTTAGTCGTGCTTGGGCATGACCCCCTGACCTTGATGCAACCGTGAGGCGCAACAGATCAGGTGGATAATCATGCAATCCTTGTGGATGTCGCGCTCGACGTGCTAGTTGAATAGTGTCGACAGGCGGAGTGTAAGGGTTGTTTGGTGCGCTGTCAGTAGCCACTTGCGGCGCTCCATGCAGTTGCTGACCGCCGTGGGGATGAAGTTGAGGATGTCCTGTGGTATGTGCGCTGCTCGTGGTGCTCGTGCCATCCCCTCCTTGGTGGCGTGCCACCACCAGAGGTGCAGCTTGCGCAGCTCCTGCATGCGTGTTTCATGCGAGTCACTGCGAAGTGCTCGTGTGGAGGTAATGTCGAAGCGAATCCAATCTGAGGGCGTTGGGTTTTCTGCAGGTGCGTCGGCAGCTCGTGGTGTTGCTCGACGAGGCACGGGCCGTGATGCTGCTTTCGGATTCCTTTTCGAGCGACGTGCTCGCCCGAACCAGTACCCTGAGCTCCAGCGCTGGATGATGAGCTGGCTCCTGACCCTCCCGTGGGCGCGGGTGGTAGGAGCAGCCTCGCCTGCTGCTCCAAGGTCTGCACCGCTGGATAGCTGAGTTTGCTGGTCGTTGGAGTGATGCGGTCCTCCAGGTCGCGCTGGTGCTCGTGGGTGCTGGCCGGCGCGTGGGCGCGGCCGGACGTAGGGATCCGCGAACGTGCACTTGCCAAACTCGTGAGTGTGCGTGGGGTGACCCCGTTAAGATGCTTCGCCTGCTGCTCGCGTATCTCGGTCGCTTTGTCGAACGCTCCATGCAAGGAAGCTCTTGCACATGTTCTGAATCAGCTCACTGCGTTGAAGCCGTCTTGCCTCCATCCCGTCCTTGTCTGATTGGAAAACTAAACCTACTCGTCGAAACTGAACCAAACATCGGCCGACAACAAATCCGTAATCTCCGCCGTGCCGTGCGTGAGGTCCGCCGCGTCGATCTTGACTGCATCGGGGGAGTTGTGGGGGCCTCGCTGCTGCTGATGCTGCACACCGCCCACCAATGCCTGCACGCATTCTTTGTACTTGGCATCGGCGCCGTCCAAAGCAACGCGCGCTACCTGCGCTGTTATCTGCTGCTTCGCGTGCGCCTACTCGCGCCTGGACAGACGGTCGAGCTCGACAGCCAGCTTCCACTCATGGTATTGACTAGAAAAGTGAGCTTGGCAGCTCTTTATTGGCCCAAGAGAGTGGAGCGAACGCCCTGTTTTGACCGTGAAGGGTGTGCTGGTAAATGGCCGCCGTCATGTGCCTTCGTAAAGAGATCCATCATGGCGCGCAAGTCATCCATTAAGAATTCTTTCTATGCGGCGACTTTTGAGGCAACTGCTGCTTAGGTCCAGGGACCATAAGAATAGACACATCATTCCTACCAATGCTCCATATCTCACCATCTTCTTCATAACTCCTACTTGCACCAGTGTTTGCAAACATAATAGCTTGGCCCGTTTTTCTTGCACTCGCATTGCCCGCAACGCCAGCGCCTCTCGGACTCTGGTGCTCGCTGCCGCCCGGGTGATGGCCGCGGTACTGATCGAACGAGGACCGCCAGTACTGCTTCTGGTGATGTCCGCCACTGCCGCCCGGGGACATCTCTGCCTGGATGGGAAACGTGAGAGAAGGAGGCCACTCTGCAGTGCCGTCCTGAAGTTACCAGTTGCAAGCGAGGATGAGGATGCTGATGGTGATGATGATGCAGAGGAGGAGGAGGAGGAGGAGGAGGAGGAGGAGGAGGAGGAGGAGGAGAAGGAGGAGGAGGAGGAGGAGGAGGAAACCCACAGCGCTAAGGTGTAAAAGCACGCGGAGGGGGAGGGATTTTGTGCTTCCGCCACTTGTGGCGCCTGCAGAAACTTTTGGTGCTTCTGTCACTGTCGGGGCCTCTTGTGAATCCGCCTCGAACTTCTTGGTCGGAGCGCGACCCGGCACGACCCAGGAGAGGTGCCTTGCTCTGAGGGAGACGTGTGGGGGATGAAGCGGAAGCCGATACCACCGAGCCTCCACAGGCCTAGTCTGGGACGGCCCCGACCAGAAACCGTGGCCACACTTCACTGGCCCGCGGAGGCTCTTCTTGGTGGCACATGCTGGTGCCCCCCCGTCCGAAGACCGCTAGGGAGAGGAAGATCGCGAGCAGGAGCGCCGCCGCGAGCAGGCCCCCGGCGGCGACGGCGGCGGCGCTGGGCGTGGGGCCTCGCGCCCGCGCCGCGGAGCGTCCCTGCGGGCAGGGGCAATCAAATCAGCACCGAACAGAGCATCCAGTACTACTACTACTACTAGTACTACTAGTACTACTAGTAGTAGTACTACTACTACTACTACTACTACTACTACTACTACTACTACTACAACAACAACAACTACTACTACTACTACTACTACTACTACAACACAAACTACTACTACTACTACTACTACTACTACTACTACTACTACTACTACTACTACTACTACTACTACTACTACTACTACTACTACTACTACTACTACTACTACTACTACTACTACTACTACTACTACTACTACTACTACTACTACTACTACTACTACTACTACTACTACTACTACTACTACTACTACTACTACTACTACTACTACTACTACTACTACTACTACTACTACTACTACTACTACTACTACTACTACTACTACTACTACTACTACTACTACTACTACTACTACTACTACTACTACTACTACTACTACTACTACTACTACTACTACTACTACTACTACTACTACTACTACTACTACTACTACTACTACTACTACTACTACTACTACTACTACTACTACTACTACTACTACTACTACTACTACTACTACTACTACTACTACTACTACTACTACTACTACTACTACTACTAGGACGGGCACCTGATCGGGCGGAAATGCTGCGGAAAGATCGGATTCAGATCGAATCGGCCTTGCAGCCTGTGGCCCCCCCTTACGGTGCCGTAGGGTGACGGACCGTGCGGTGGCCGTGGCATCCCCAAAGACCTCACCGCACGTGCCGCCACCACCGCACGGTTTTGGGACCCTGGAGGCCTCCATCAACCGAGACTTCCTCGGAGCAACGCCCAGATCCCAAATCGGGCGGTCACCCCGGATTCCCATTGACCCACCACTCTGTGCGGTCACCTCGTCGTCGTTTCGGGGTCCCGAGCAGCGCTGTGCAAACGTCGGGCCGCTCTGGACCGTGCAGGTCGAGGCCGAGTCGGGCCGAGCAGGGCGGAGCCGAGATCGGATCGGATCGAGGTGGGCCCCGCCTGCGGGGTGTCGCCGTGGAGAGCGCTGGACGGCGACAGGAGCGCGCCCCCAGAGGCGTCGTCCACGACCTCCGCAGGCTGGCAGTAGCCAGGAGGGGGGCACGCATGAGCCATGAGGATAAGAAGGAGGACAAGGAGAGAGCGAGCGAACGAGCGAGCGAGCGGCCGCCGTGAGGTCCATCTGAGACTGAGCTGAGGCGCGCTGCGCACTTCAGCGATGCAAACTCACCACTGGGCTACACAACGAAGTGAAGGCCAACTGGCTCTGGATCGGCGAACCTGTTCAAGCCAGGACTGTGCCGAGAGGCTGGGCCTGTAAGGTGACAGGACGGCATCCTCACTTGGAGTCGTCGTTCTCGAGGCGCTCCCCTGCGATCCCTGACGTGTGAAAAGATCATGAGGAGCAATACCAGACTTACACAGCAGCGAACGAGACCCCAACAGCGAGGACGAGGGGGACAGAGCAGAGAGGCGGAAGAAAGCCGGGCGCACACGGAAGGAAAAAAGGCAGTCTCTCTGTTCAGGGAAGGCTACGCTCTGACACAACAGCAGGCCCAGACAAATATCCGGGCGAAAGGCCCAACCATATGCAATTGTGAGCACACCGCTTTCGGTGGAGCTCCCCGTGGGGCCACGAACCGCGTGAGGGGTGCGCCAAATGTGGCGGCGCCGCCATGCGAACCCTGCCTCTGGAGCCTTCGGTGGGGATTCCTATGGGGCCACGAACCGTGTGATGGGGTGCGCCGAAATGGTGCCACGCCGTCATGCGACCCTTTTTGCTCTGACAAAGACCAGCCGCACGCGTACCAGCCTGCTTTAAAATACGATTGAGGCCAGCGACGGAGACGCTATTCGACCCAGCTCCTCGCAAAGCGGGGGAGGTCGTCGTCGTCGTCCGAGTCGCTGGCATTGGGGAGGCCAAACAGGTCCTCCCACAAGGCCGAAACAGCCTGGGACACAGGAGGAAAGAGATGCTCCTGTCCCGACCACCCCACCCCCACGTCCGACCCACTCCCAACCCCAGAGGTCTCAGGGAGCGAGGGAAGCGGCGGCATGCCAGCCGTCTCGTCGAGCCTCCTCTTCCGCAGCAAAATCGGAGGCCCAAGAAACAGACTCGACTTGTTAGGGTGGCAACCTTTCAGCAGGTTCTGAAGGCGGTAGAAACGAGAGTCCTTCACCTGTGTGCCTAGCCTGCGCTGTCTCGGCAGGCATTCCACAGAGAGACCCTGGCTGCGTTTCTCAGAATACGCACCGCACAAGGAACAAAACAAAACTGGCCCCGACCGATGAAGTGAGTGCATGCCAGCCCTGTCTTGGCACTTTAGCGTGCGCAGCGTGAGTCGGGCCTTCGCCGACCGAAGACAAACCATGCAGCGAAAACGTCGGCCACAAAATGTGACCGCTGGATCAAAACGAGAATGTGGCCTAGGCGGGCCGAAACCTCCTTCGATGGTTCCGATGACCCTGCCCAGCGCCTGTGCCTGAGCGTCCAGCGGGGTGATATTGCCTATCCTCGCCGCGACGCGCGTGCAAAACTGGGCGGCCATCTTGACAACCCCACGCGAGGCACGGTGAGCATCGCGCAGCATCTTCGCGTCGAGGTGCATTGCAGCACCACGCTTGGCAGACGTGTCGGCCTGTGCGTTGCCGAAGCGCTGCCACGCCGTGAGAAGGCCATCCGCGACGGCGGACGCAGGCGAGTGAGCTTTGACGTGAGTCACCTCCACCGCCTCCACCCCACGGTCCGACACCAACCTCCAAACCTCCCTCCATAAATCGGCCATGGGGTCGCCAGCATCCGTGCCAGCTCCTGACCCCTGGCGCCACACATCTACAAGTGGCTTGCAGTCGGTGAACAATTTCAGCTGAGCTCCCATATAGCGGAGGGCCATGAGGAAACTGAAGAGCTCAGCTGCGGGCGCAGTCTGAAACAACATGGGTAGCGGTCCATGCATCCTCGCGACCTCCTTCCACTGGGAGTCGAGTGGGCGCAGCCCCCAACCACATCTCCTAAGACGACAGAATTGCCCATGCACGCCCGAGCCATCTCCAAACACATGCACATCGAACAACAAATCAGGCGACCGCAAAGTCCACACCACTCGCTCCTCGAAGCAAGGGCTCGGAAAAAGCCAGGACGGATCAGGGACGAGAAAACGGGTCCAACGCAGCGAGCGGTCGGCTGTCTTCTTCGCCAACTCTAGCATCTGACTGGCCAACTCAAAACCTGCCTTGAAATCCCGACGGTACTCAGAGTGCACAGGGCAATCATAGAAACGGTGCCAGGTGGAACCGACGCTCTTACACGCAAGGCACTCAAGATTAATCGCTCCACCAACTTCGTACAACCTCTCTTGAGACCAAACACCTCCCGCAAAAAGGCACGTGAGGAGCCCTTGATGAGGCCTTCGGTGGAGCTCCCCATGGGGCCACGAACCGTGTGATGGGCGCGCCGAAATGGTGCCACGCCGCCATGCGAACCCTGCCACTGGGGCCTTCAATGGAGCTCCCTATGAGGCCACGAACCGTATGATGGGCGCGCCAGGATGGTGCCACGCCGCCATGCGAACCCTGCCGCTAAGGCCTTCGGTGGAGCTCCCTAGTGGATCACGAACCGTGTGAGAGGTGCGCCACCTCGGTGAAGCGGCCTAGGGGGCCACGAGGCGTGTAGTGGGGATGCTGATGCTGACGTTGATGATAATGATGGTGCTGACGATGACGATGACGATGCCGATAGCGACGATGATGATGTTGTGGTTGTTGTTGATGATGCTGATGATGAATATGATGAATATGATGATGGTGATGATGATGATGCTGATGATGACGATGTGGATGACGGCAATGGCGATGATGATGACGATGCTCATTGTGAGGATGACGTGCGGAGGGATAGGAGGAGGAAGGGGGAGGAGGGCGGGAATGAGGTGACGCGGGGCGCTGTCTCTTCAAAATGAGGACCCAATGCCAAACGATGGTTTGACACACAGTCACCCGAGTGCCTCGGGTGGAGACCTTGCTGTAAGTGCACAACGCTGGAAGACATAAGTGTACACGTGTACAGTTGAGCTTGTATTGTTTATGCTGTATGGCATAGCTGGTATTGCTTATTTCGTACGGATTGGTTTGGATTGCAGATTCTGGATTGCTTCGTATGTGTTGCTTATTTTGCATGGCCTATGTTGTTCTTTGTTATTCTTATTGCTTACTGTATATATACATGTATACACATATTTATAGACAAATCTGTTCGTTTCTCTTGTGTGGCTTGTGCTGTACGGCTTATTGGACGGCCTACTCTTGTACGGCCTACTCTCCTGTGCTCTCAACCAAACGCTGGACGCCTGATCCCACGAGGACGTAAGCGAACGCGAACCGTGTGATTTACATATTTTGTATGCCTGATGTCGTGTGGCTTATTATGTACAGCTCATGCTGTATGGCCTATTCCGCATGGCGCTTTGGGTGTGGCTTATCTGGTCTGGCTTGTCCTGTGCGGCTGAGTGTGTGTGGCTTAGATTGTGAATCTTGTTTCCCACGGGTTCTTTCGTATGTCTACGGCTTTCTTGCACGGCTTATGTTGTATGCCTTACTGTTTGGATTATTATGTGTAGCTTTGGCACTGCTTTGTTCAATCTGTGAAGTACAACCTGTGTGGTGCACTATATGCTGTGCAGCCCGTGTAGTGCGCTATATGTAATACAGCCGGTGCTGTGCAGTGTATGCGGTGCAAGCTTTGTTGTGAGCGATCAGAAAGCGCGCCGCAGGCGCGAAAAACATATCGTGCAGCTTATGTGCTGCAATCCTTGTGTGGCAACTGATGTGGCGCAAGCTATGCGGTGTAATCTATGCGGTGCAATCTGTGCGGCGCAATCTATGTTGTGCAGCACCTGCTGTGCAATCTATGCTGTTGTGCAGTGGGCGTTGTGCAATATATGTGGTGCGATCTAGGTGGCACGGTCTAGATGGTGAAAAATACGTGGTACTGAAATTTTTGTAGTGCGCTCTAGGTGGAGCAATCTATGAGGTGCAAGAAATATGTATATGTATATGTATACGTATATGTATATGTATATGTATATATAGGTATATCTATATAACCAACTGTATGGATGGATGTATGTGTATATATATACACATATATATATACATATGTATTTGTGGCGCAATCAAGATTGCATCCGATCAAAAATCGCGCCGCAGGCGTGATTTTTTCGTGCAACCTATGTGGTCGCATCTAACGGCGGCGACGGGCGGCGACGAGACGGCGACGACGGCCACATAGCCGCCAGACTGAAACACGGCCCAGATAACGGGCGGCGACGAGGCGGCGACGGGGCGGCGACGGCGACGACATACTTGTCAGACCAACCACACGGCCCAATTCCGTAGATGAGAAATAAGGAACCCAAAGTGCAAGCACTGTTTGCCCCAAGACGGCCCAAGACGCCTCCCAGATTCACAAAAGGCCCCCAAAACGGTTCCAAGAGAGCGCCCAGACGGGGGACCCGATCGAACATTTCGAGCCCTCAGCCCCGAAAAGCCCCCAAAAGGCCCTCCAGGAAACCCACGGAGGCCCCAAGAGGCTCCCGAGAGGTCCCCAAACATTCTCCTAGGAAACTGCAGAACAAACTAAGAAGTTACACAACAACCGGGTATTCCCTCCTCTTCGACCTTGTTTTCCTCCTCCGCCTGTTCCTCCTCCTCCTCCCCATCACAGAACGGAGGAGGGACACTTTCCCGAGTGCGGCAAGCGCGCTTTCAACGCCTCCGACGTCCGACAACGCCTCGCAGCCACCGTCCGATCCGCGAGGGCTGGCGCGCCCAGACGACAGGGTCGTCTCCAGGGTCGGCGGCATCGGCCGTAAGGCCTTCGCAATAAGGAACCCAAAGTGCAAGCACTGTTTGGGGAATAGCAATGCAATACCAAACACGCGACCAAACACTTTACATAAGATGAGCTGACCAGGTGCGCTCGGAAACCAGGCCATACATAATAAGCTACACTGCGTAAGCCAGACATAATAAAACATGCAACACCAGAACTACAACGCCAGACACGCAAACAGCAGCAATGCGTCCAATTCATAAAATTAATACTTTGGACACCGCTAGATTGGCACTCGGCGCTGACTGGGCGCGCTTGGAACGTAAACCATACAAATAAGCAATACCAGCAAATCAATACAACATCAGACACCCAAGCAAACATTCAAAATACAAACGCAAAACTATTCTCTTTTGCTTTGGGCCCCGCTCGATCAGCACTCAGCGCTCGCTGTGTGTTTGGAAAGTAATCCACATACGAAATGAGCCATACAAAATAAGCCATTCAGAATAAGGCACACGAACATAAACCATACATGATAAACGTGCGTAATCAACCGTAACGAGTAAATCATGCAACACCCGGCACGCACGACATACATACATGGGCAACATTACTCGCTTTCGCCATGGGCCTGGCGGGATCAGGCACCTCGCTGCCGACTGGTTGTACGGAGTAAGCCATACAAGCAGAGTCAACCATACAAGCCTAGTAAGTCATACAAGCAGAGTAAGCCATACAAACAAAGTAAGTCATACAAGCAAGGTGCGCCATACAAGCGAAGTAAACCACACAAGCAGGACACGCCACACAAGCAACGTAAGCCATGCAAGCAACGTAATCCAATCAACAAGCTAAACAAACCATAGAGAATGTAAGACACTAGGCGATACTCAATAAGCCACAATGGATGTAAACTGATTAGCCATACTAAATAAGCCATCTTAAATGCAAGCGGAACAGGCCATACAAATAAGCCATACCAAGTCGAAACGAACTAAGCCCATTATACACGCCATACTGCATGGACGCGGACCATGTCATAGTAAACAAGCCATACTACATGTAAGCGAAACACGCCATACTGACTAAGTCATACTAGGTGCAAACGAAATCCACAAACAAACCATACAAAATTATCCCAGTGCGACCCTACCTGGTTGGAGCTTTTAGGAACGCAACATCTACATCTACACCGACAGCTACATTGCTTGCTATGCTGCTGTTGCTGCTTGTGCTTTGCCTTTGCTTTGCTGATGTGCTATGCTATGCTATGCTATGCTATGCTTGCTATGCTATGCTATGCTGCGCTATGCTATGCTATGCTATGCTAGGGTACGCTCGGCTGCGCTGAGTTATGCTAGGCTATGCTATGTTATGCTATGCTGCGCTATGCTATGCTATGCTATGCTGCGCTATGCTATGCTATGCTATGCGGCGCTATGCTATGCCATGCTATGTTACGCTGTGCTATGACATGCTAGGCTATGCTATGATATGCTATGCTGCGCTATGCTATGCTATGCTATGCTATGCTATGCTGCGCTATGCTATGCTATGCAATGCTGTGCTATGCTATGCTGCGCTGTGCTATGCTGAGCTATGCTATGCTATGCTATGCTATGTTGCGCTATGCTATGTTATGCTATGCTATGCTATGCTGAGCTATGCTATGCTATGCTATGCTTGGCTATGCTATGCTATGCTGTGCTAATGCTGCGCTGCGCTAAGCTAAGGTAAGCTAAGCTATGCTAAGCTAAGCTAGGCTAGGCTAAGCTAAGCCAAGCCAAGTCAAGCCAAGCCAAAGTAAGCTAAGCTAAGATAACATGCTATACATTAAGCTAAGCTAGGCTAATCTAGGCTAGGCACAGCTAAGCTAAGCTAAGCTAAACTAAACTAAGGGGACGTAGCTGGGGGAACCGCGGAGCGGATGCTGGGGGAACCGCCCGGGGCGAGTTGCACTGCCCGGCACTTTAAGCATACCGAGTAAGAACCCTTCTAAACAGAGCCCAGGTAGGGAACACACCGTGATAGATCTAGAAAACAGTGCTGAATAGCACTACTCGAGATGCAATACAAACTGAGCAATAAAAAATCAGATTGTGCACTGTGCGCTGTGTTCTGGTATTATGGCTCCTACATTGCGCACTAACGTTTCTAATGCCGTGCGCTGTCGGCTTACCCTCCCTCGGGTGACCTTGTTTGGCCCCTCACCCAGAGGCGAACGATAGACTATTTAGGCTCAAACGCTGATCTCCAAACAGTCACTGTTGATCATGCCATCAAGTACTATGTCGTGCCAGGGGCAAGGTAACGAGAGGCGAGGAAGCCAGCGACGATGTGGAGGCGAGTGGGGGCTTAGCAGCGATCAGGAGAAGGAGGAGGAACAACAGGAGGGCAGCGATAAGACATGGAGCAGGATGCGGCTGGGGGGATGAGGAAGAGGAGATGGGGCAGGAGGGAGATAAGGAAAACGATGGCCAAGAGGCGGCGGTGGCTGCGGACCTCCGCTTCCGCCGCGTCCTCCGAAGCCACGCCGACGATCGGGCGCGGCCCAGGCGCCAGCACGGGGCACCCAGGGCCCTGCCTGGGGGAGCTGACGGGTGATGAAACTGATAGTAATGATAATGATGGTGATGGCGGTGGTGACGACGACGGTGGCGGTGACGGTGAAGATGACAATGCTGATGCTGATGGTGCTGATGATGATGAGGGTTATTATGGTGACGACGATGACGACGATGGCGGTGATGATACTGCCACTGATGATGACGACGGTGATGATGGTGGTGGTGATGATGTTACCCTGTTCCAACTGGTCGATACAGCTCACTGACAGGGTAACATATTACTCTTCGTGATCGCAAATGCTGAAATCTACACTCGGTGCCTGGACGGTACATTGTCCTGGCAGGAACCCCGACCCATTGTCTACCGATGGGGGGCCGTCGACCTCGAGAATCTTCAAAGTGAGGCAGCCAGACCGAATGATCAGACACGGGACAGATGATTAACTATTGCCAAAGCGTTCTTCCAAGCTAAAACTTCGGAGCGGCTCTGGCGCTTCGTAGTTGACCTTTTCGCCTGGGTCCGAGCTGGTGTCTGCGGAAGTCCCGCTGACGTAGCCGGCCCCGTCCGCGGGCGCTTAGGCGGCGGCGGGATAGGCTGTGTACGGCGGCGCGGCGCTCTGCGACGGGCCCATAGGGCACGTCATGGCACCAGTACCGGGAAACTCGGCGGCGCTGGCAACCCAAGGGGGGTCGAGACCTTGAGTGTGCCAGGGGTCCGTGGTGTATGTGTCGTTGCTGTTGTCATTGGTCATGCCCTCGAAACCTCCGAACGATGGCGGCGTACGAAGAGCGCTGGCGATGTTGTTTGGTGCGCGTTCCACGATATGACCCACGCGCCTGAGCATAATCGTGAGACTGTTGAACTCGGCTTCCGTGGCTGGGTATCGATTGCCGTAGGGCTGCAGTCGCGTCGTGAGTTGGCTAGCTGCGACGCCGACCGCTCGGAGGAGCAACCAAGTGTAGCCTACCCAATACATCGCAGCTCCACCGTTGTGCGTAGCTCGGAATCGCAGCGTAAAAAGCCGCGTGAGCAGCGCGTCGGTGGTTTCGTTGCGGCGCCCCGGGAACTCGAATAGTTCGCGGGTAGCCTGGACGCGTGACTCCTCGCCTCGTGGACCGAACTGTGTAGCTAGGTTCGCGATGAGGTAGGTCACGGCATTTTCTTGCTGGCCGTTGACCATGCCTCAGTCCGTCATTTTCGTGAAGCTCATGGAGCGCGTGAGCTCGCGAACGGCCCCACCGAGGTTGAGGATGACAGCAGCGCGTTGTTGGGCGCTGTCCATGTCGGTGGCTAGCACGCTCCAAGCGAGCAGATCCTGTACCCAGTGGCGGAAACAATACATGGACTCGCGCTCGGGTGACCATGAGGGCGGCTGGCGGGATACGCTCGCACCGCGGCTGCCGCCACCCTGTGGGCCGGCTCCGCCAGGCATCATGCATGTGAGCCAGAAAGGACGGTCACGAAGAACACGAGGATGCTGCCCCAGAGCGTCAATATGGGTATCCTCCTCGATGATACCTCACCAGGATGATGGGTGCGGAGGCGCCTTGGGGCTCGGGCCTGCGCCGGGACAAACGCCATGTCGAAATACGGGGCGGCCATGATGATGCCGTCAACCATGGTCGAAACCGAAACCGGTGGAACTGGTACGTCAGCTTTCAGTGCTCCACTCGGGTGCGGCGATGTGCTCACAAGGACAGCCAACACTATCGCACACGTACCGAAGCACGGCGCTAGCCCAGGGAGGGGCCTCGCAATCATGCCCGACGCGAAGCTGCGGCCAATGCCTGTGGGGTTGCGATGGGTCGAGGAACGTCGCGGCGCTCCTGTGGGCGATTCGCTCCTCATCGCAGTTCTGTTTTCTGCTGATGCCCTCGCAGCCAACCAGACGTCCAGGGCGAATTGCCGTTTGGTTTGCAGAAAAGCCATAAGCAAAGGGGAATCAAAGAATGGAGGGTGGTACCGATACGGATGTGAAAGTATGCGCGTCCACACCGCACTATGCGAATGTTCCGTGGATGGCGAGCTGGGATCGCTCCCAGCTCCGCTACCAACTAGAATTGCGGGGTCTGGAAGCTGTACGAGATAAAGCATGGCGGCAATAAGATGTTGATTGTAATGCTTACGCTCTCCGTACAATAGCTATACGCCCTCTCTTCGGGTGATAAGGAGGTTGTGGGGGGGGAGAGGGGTGGGGGAACCAACATCTGACTCAATCGATCTCACTACCGATCTCACTCAACGGGACACAACGGGACACCACGGGACACTTGTCGATCTCACGATCCATCTCACTATCGATCTCACTCAACGGAACACCACGGGACATCACGGGCCACCACGGGACACCGCGGGACACCTCTCGATCTCACTATCGGTCTCACTATCGATCTCACTATCAATCTCACTACCGATCTCACTAAACGGGACACCACGGGGCACCTGTCGATCTCATTATCGATCTCACTTTTGGGAACACCACGGGACACCTCGGGGCACCACATCGATCTCAGTATCGATCTCAGTATCGATCTCACTCAACGGGACACCACGGGACACCACGGGACACCTGTCGATCTCACTATCGATCTCACTTTTTGGGACACCACGGGACACCGCGGGACACCGCTAGCCACCGCCGGACCGGCGGGCGGGGGAGAAGCATTTGTCTTGATTTCGCCCTAGCAGCGGCGGACACCACGGGACACCACGGGACACCATGGGACACCGCGGGACACCGCGAGCCACCGCTGGACGGACGGGCGGGCGGGGGAGCATCATTTGTCTTGACTTCGCCCTAACAACGGCGGGTTCATTCCTCTCGCGCGCCCACGCAGCTTCGCCTCGCCCGCACGCACGACACGAACGAAACGAAACGATTTCCCGGTTGGGGGTCTCCGTTCCACTGCGATCTCACCCCCCAACCTCCGATACAGGTATGCGTCGGCGCCTGGGCCAAGCGGCGGCGTGCCCTCCTTTTTGAGTGAGGAGGAGGAGGAGGAGGAGGAGGAGGAGGAGGAGGAGGAGGAGGAGGAGGAGGAGGAGGAGGAGGAGGAGGAGGAACGCTAAGATCCCTGATGATCCAAGTGTGCCTGACGGCAAGAAGAAAGGAAGAGGATAATGAGGAGGAGAAGGAAGAGGCGGAGGGGGAGGAATATGAAGAGGAAGAGGAAGAGGGGACCCGCCTGAGGAGCACGACGTTGCGCCCAGGGAGGTGCACGGTCTCGAAGGCCACCGCGCCCGGCCTGCAGTCGAAGTGTGGCGCGGCCGCGGCGGACCTGCGGGCGGGTGGGGTGTGGGGGTGTCGAGGAATCGAACACCATAACAAACATAGTTTTTTCCGCAGGTCCGCGCGGATTTCTCCTCCTCCTCCTCCTCCTCCTCCTCCTCCTCCTCCTCCAGGTGAAGGAAGATGAGGAAGAGAGAGGGAACCAGAGAAACTCCGCATTTTCTGTTTCTCACCTCCTCCTCCTCCTCCTCCTCCTTCAGCAGAAGTAGCAGTAGGAGTAGGAGTAGGAGTAGGAGTAGGAGTAGGAGGAGGAGGAGGAGGAGGAGGAACTAGAGGAACATATTACAACATATTCACATCTTTCGGGGGTCCGCGCGGACCCCGTGGCGGCGCGTCCGACACCGCGCGCCAGTGAGGCGGGTGAAGCCTCGAACCAAGAAATCCGCGCGAACCTTCGAACGTTGTTATCCACCCAGCAGGTTGGGGCTCCCGACCCGCTGTTCGCGCAAAATGCACATCGCCGCCGCCAGGCCCAAATGGTCCTGGTGCTCCGTGGTTATCCAGCCTCGCGTCTTCGACCGATGAGACACCGCCGCAGGTGGCCACCCTCGAGCTCATCCCTGTCCGTAACGTTGACAAGCCCAAGACGGTGAAAATCTTAGGGGTGTGCCCGCAGGCGCTGGGTGGATCCTTAAGATGGGCGCTTGGACAAAGAGATCAAGGATGTGCTTCGGTCTGGTAGGACTACAGCAGGTCCGTGTCGTAACGACTTGTGCGCTGGTTTCTGGCACTGCATGGACCGTTCAGCCTTGAACCATCTCTGACAGCGCAGATCGCTCGATGTCAGCCGACTCGCGCTGGCCGCTCCCAACCCAGAACGACCGCGCTGGGGCCGCCGCCGCATCGACACGGAACGCACCTACCGTACCCGAGGGGCTCGTCGAGGCCAGCCCGAGCTACCTCCAGGGGCTGCCCGAGCCAGGGGCGAGCCTCCGCCTGGAACCAAGCACGCGCCGCCGCCGCGGAGCCCGAGGCCTCCGCCGTTTGCCTGGCCTGCCTGTGGCCTGGTGCGACACGGCAGCCTCCCCCTCGAGCGCCGGCCCTGGGTGGACACCGGGGCCCCGACCCGGCCCGCCAACAGGGCCCGCGCCGAGGTCCCCGGCCCAGCGGCAACCCGCCCCCCTGCAGGCGGCGCCGCCCGCGACGCGCCGGGCGCTGGCGCCTCGGGAGGGACCGGCCCCCCCGCCGCACCCCAGCCCCAGCGCTGCTGGCCCACCCCAGCACGACCAGGCCGGATCTCCGACGGCCAGACGCCTTCTGGCCGCAGCTTGAAGTCGGGCGTGTCCCTCTACAGGAGGCATATTCAAGAATGGTCAGAAAAAGTCTGGGGACGAGTTTTCGGATGTGTTTGACCCTTCTCGTCCAGAATCCGCCTGGCACGGAGCTCCAACGCTTGGGGCAAGGTCAGCGAGCTTCCAGAGGGTCTCGAGGGACCAGCAGGCGCCCCGGGCAGAAGGCGCGGCGACTGCGATCGGCCCTGCCGCGCCCTGATCCTACGGTTAAGTAGGGCCTGTCCCTCTACATGAGGAATGCTCAAAAATAGTAAAAAAATAGCCCAGGGACGATTTTTTGACTATTTTTGCCCATTCGGGGGAAATTTTTGGAGTATCTTTACCTTTTCGCCCAAATTTTTTTGTAGGGGGACAGGCCCGACTTAATCCTACGGCGCCTCTTCCTCCGCGGCCGCCTCGACAGTCCTCTGGCCGAGATCCTCAGGACGCAAGGGGCCCTCGCCGTGGGCCAGCCCCTCCTCGCGAGTTTCCTGCAACGCCTCCTCGACACCGGCTGGGGCCTCGAGGACCCCGCCGCGGTGCCAGGGCGCCCTGGCGCCGGCGGCGGCGACACGGCGCGCGAGGCGGACAGATCTGGAGACAGCTCCGACGCGGGCGGTGCCGCAGAGCCTGACTTTGAGCCGGAACGCAGGCCCCGCTCCTCTGCCCGCGCGCGGCGGGGCCCCAAAGGACGCAGCTGCGGCGCCCCGCCTCGCCTGCGGCACGCAGCGGCCACAACGACCCCGAAGCCACCAACCTTCCTGGCGACGGGACAGGGTCCCGCGGCCCCTTCGCCAAGATCGCGCAGACGCTCAGCCAGGACCTAGCGCACACGAGCTCAAGTCGTCGACGCCTTGGTGCAGCTCGGGTTTCGCCAGGGCCTGCTCCTGCACGAGTTCTCCACAGGATGAGCATCGTGCAGGGCGACGAAGCACGCTGCTCGGGCAAGGACTCTGCCTCCTTCCTGGGCCGCGCCTTCTGCCGCAAGACGCGCAGAGGCGAGGCCACGCTGGCGCGCTTCGCCCCTGCCTCGGGGCAGCCCCGCGGGTGCGAGCCAGCGACCACCTGCCCCAACGACGGCCTGCTCCTGCGTGACCGCGATGTCAGGCAACGCGCCGGGCGACCTGACATCTGGAAAGGCTTCCTCTCCCCCTTTGGCCGCCCCCTGGGGCCGTCCATTCAACCGCGCCGACCCGCGGCTGCCGGAGCCCGAGTTCCCGCAGGACTGGGTAGACGGGTGGGACTTCTGGCGCCTCCAGGGCCGGGGCCAGATGTCCGACGAGCAACGCCGCGACCTGGCACGGTGCCTCCCCAGCGAATGATCCATACGGCGGCCTCCCGCAAGCCGATTTGGGGCGTCACCGCCCCCGAGGAAGCCTCTGGCTCCCCATCGCGTCTGGGCGCGGCTGCGGGCAGTCCCCCCCGCGCCCAGGGCGCAAGTGGCCTGGGCCGACGGCCGAGTCGTGTCCCGACGCTTCCCCGACGCCATCGGCGCCCTCACCTCGCGCGAAGCCACGCCGCCTATGTCCTCCACTCCTCGCCTTGCCTTTGCGGCTGTTCCTGTCCTGGCCCCCACTCCTCGCCTGCGCTGCCGCCCCGCGGGACGCCCGCGCAGCCCTGCCACTGCTCCTCCTCCCCGCCGGCCATGCCTGGTTGGCTATGTGCTGCCGCCCCGGTTCGCGCTGCGACCTCCGTGTGGGACGCCGCGGGCAGTGTCTCTGCCCTCCCCGCCATCCTCGCCCGGATGGCTGTGGCTGCCCACTCACAGGGCGGCACGTGCGGCGATCCACAGCGATCCCGCCCCAGGGCCCAGCCGCCGCGCGCCCGCTCCCGCTGCTCCTCGACACACTCCGCCTCGTCGCTTCGCGCGAGGCCGAGACCGCCGAAAAGTGTGTGTGCGCCAACGTGTGTGTGTGTGTGTGTGTGTGTGTGTGTGTGCGTGCGTGCGTGCGTGCGTGCGTGCGTGCGTGCGTGTGTGTGTGTGTGTGTGTGTGTGTGTTGTGTGTGTGTGTGTGTGTGTGTGTGTGTGTGTGTGTGTGTGTGTGTGTGTGTGAGCGTGTGTGTGTGTGTGTGTGTGTGTGTGTGTGTGTGTGTGTGTGTGTGTGTGTGTATCTCTCTCTGTGTGTGTGTGTGTGTGTGTGTGCATGCCCAGGCGCGCCAGAGGCCCATGCCCCCCTGGCCTCGCTCCTGGGAGCGCTGGAGGCGCCGCGCCAATTAGGTGCAGCGGGTATCCTCCCTACTCTGCCCCTCCTCCCCCCCCTCTGCCTGTTTTCCTTGCCACAGGGCTCCACTGGCGCTTGTAATGCATACACATATATATATATATATATATGTACATATACATACATATATATATATATATATATATATATACACATATTTATTTATATATATATATATATATGTATGTATGTGTGTGTGTGTGCGTGTGTGTGTGTGTGCGCATGCCCCGTCTGCGGCCCCCTTTTACTTGCGACTGCCCTCCTCCAGTCCACCCAGCTGCTACGCCAAATGGCAGTCCGCCCAAGCGTATCCCGGCCTAGCGCTCGCGACCTCGCCGCTGGAGAAAGAAAAGCACGTGTTTGTTGGGAGCGGGCTTTGCCCTCTCATGGCCTTGACGTGACGCCCCTCCTTCTGCTTTCCTTCCTCTGTTAATCAAAGCCGTGCGCGGCCCGCTTAGCTTCGACCGGAAGAGGCTCGCTCTCGACCCGCGGACCCCCCCCCAAAAAGTGTCTGTTGGGAACTCCACGAGGACGTGACTGATGGGCCTGTTTTCCACCACCACCACCATAAGTTGGAGGGGGAGGGGTCCTCCTCCTTTTCCTGCTCCTCGTCCTCCTCCTCGTCCTCGTCATCCTCGTCCTCCACCCCCTTCCCTCCTTCAACTTATGGTGGTGGTGGTGGACAACAGGCCCATCAGTGACCCTTCTGTGACTGCCCCCCGACCTGGCGAGCAGACCCAGCACGGCGGCGGCCTCCGAGGCGAGCGTGGGGGCACGGCGCGGGCCCATCGCTGCCGCTCCCCGGACCTCCGTGGCCTCGCGGGAGGAGCCCCGCGGCGGCGCGTGCTGGCTGGCCGCGGGCGGGGCCCTCCCGCCTGCTGCGTGCTGCTGCTGCTGCTGCTGCTGCTGCTGCTGCTGCTGCTGCTGTGCTGCCTCGGTGAGGCTCCGCCGCTTCCTCCCTCCTCTTCTCTGCCCAATTCAGGCTTCGCGCGGCCCGCCTAGCTTCGTCCGGAAGAGGTGCGCTCCCGACCCGCGGATCAAACAACTGTGTGCTGCCTCTGCCTCCGCCTGCTTCGTGCTGCTGCGGCTGTTCGCGGCCTCGGCGCCCAGGCAGGAGGCCAGCGGCACAAACACACATGTGTCGGACGCCTGCGCGGGTCTTTCGGATCCGCGCTCGGCCCCCCCCCCTTTCCTCGGCGCGCGGAGTGCGGCAGAGGCGGCGCTGGAGGCTCCGCCGGGTGGGTCCAGCGCTGGTCCAAGAAAGCCGCGCGGAGCACAACAGATGTATGTGCGCAGGCGTTTTTTCCCAACCATCCTGCGTGTGGTGTTTGGTCCTCGCTTTGAATCAGCAGCGCCCCGTTCCCCCTCCTGCGTCGTCGTCGTCGTCGTCCTCCTCCTCCTCCTCTTCTTCCTTCTCCTCTTCCTCCTCCTCCTCCTCCTCCTCCTCCTCCGCGCACCCCTCGCACGTTTCGTGGTCGCAGAGGGAGCTCCACCAAAGGCCCAAATGTCAGAGCTCGAATTCGCCCCAAACTCATTTCGGCGCACCCATCCTCGCACGCTCTATGGCCGCATGAGGAGTTCCACCGGAGGCCCAAATTGTTCGCAAGGGTTCCCCCCTCCCATTTCGGCACGGGCTCCACCGAACGCCTACATGGCAGGGGTCGCATGGCGTCCCCGCCGCCCATTTCGGCACACCCCTCACACATTTCGCTGCCCCATAGGGAGCTCCACCGAAGACCCCAATGGACGCGGCCGCATGGCGTCTCGGGTCCAGTTCGACACAGCCCTCACACGTTTCGTGGCCCCATCGGGAGCCCCATCGCTTCTCTACCTCGCTTTGTATTCCTGACCCAATGCTGTCACTCCCCCTCGTCCGTCTCATACATGTCCCAGTCCTCCTCCTCGCCCCCCCCTCCTCCTTATCACCTGTCTTGCGCTAGCCGCGGCTGGATATCGTTGGGTCCTCCTTCAAAACAGCTTCTTCCGCTGTTGGGCCCTGGGGGCCCTCCTCGGGCCCTCCATGGGCTGCCCGGGCCCCGATGGCCCAGAGCGCCCCTCGCGAGGCCCAGATGGCCTCTGGCGCCTTCGAGGTGACGCGAAGAGCTTGGGGCACCTTTGGGTTGTTGCCAGCGGCCCGCCTTGCCCACTGGGCCCCCAGGATGTGCAGGAAGGCACAGGTGGCCTCCAGGAACACACCTCGCGAGGCCCAGCAGGCCCCCCTGGGGCTTCAGAGTGGTGCAACCAGTTGGGGGCACCCTGCGGCGGCGCTCTCACAGGGGGTGGCAAGAGGGGGGCGGCCTTCTGAGAAGGCGGGGTGGCTTCTGAGAAGGCAGGCGGCTTTGTGGAAGCCTTCCGGGTGTCTGAGGTCCGCCTCCAAGCGCTTTGAGGAAGGCCCCAGCCGAAGTTTTCAAGAGCCCCCCCCCGCCTTCTCAGAAGGCCGCCCGCCTCGCGCCCCCCCTCTGTGTGCGCGCCGCCAAACCCTTGGACAATGAAACCTTTGGCCCCCCCAGGCTCAGGTCGGGAGCTGCAGCGCGGTCCAGCTCAAGAAGGTGCGTTCTGCACGGGCAGAAGCGACGCACGTGCCCTTTACATTTAATTGAGATGTTCGAGTCAGGCCGCTCGCATGAGACCTACGGCGAGGGCCTTGAACAAGGAAGCCTTGGATGAGGAATCTAGGGTCGGAAAGCCGACGGAACACAAACTGAGACTTAGCTTAGCCATGGATATCAACGCCGCCCTCATCAGATCAGGAGCCCTTCAGGGTTTGAAGCCTCCAAGGCGCATCCCTTGACCAACGCCCCCATCGTACCATTTGCAACGCTCCCTTGTGGCAATCCACAGCCCAGGGCCCGCCTTTCGGCTACGTGTATACAGTCGGGGCGTTGACCTAATGAACCCTAAGTGGGAAACGAGCCCCCTTTGTTCCATAAGTTAAACGTCAACTTCCCATCGAAAACCGAAGGACAATCTGAGGCAAGCTGCGAAACAACTAAGGAACACGGAGCCCCTCCCCGACGAAAAGGGTTCCCTCTTCAGCGCCCCGACTGCACACGCAGGAGTGACCCCAGGCAGGCGTGGCCCCTGGTGGTGCGCAGTCCTACGGGGGCCGCAGGGGGGCCAACCCCAAGCACGCAGGCCCCTGCTGGGAGGCCTCCTGTCGGCTCGCTCTGCCGGTCCTCGTGCCACGCCACAGGGGCGCCGAGCGAGGAGCGAGGGCGCACTTTTGGCCGCGGCGAGCCTCGGGGCCACGACTCGGCTCTCCGGCCTATAGGTCTCAGGAGCGGCCCGCCGACCAGAGCCCCTCTCCCGAGCCCCGAGCCTCTCCTGTCGCAGCGTCTCGGTTGTATGGGGGGATCTCCTCGGGCCTTGCCAGGCCCTGCAAGATCCTGCGCGATGCTGCAGGATCCTGCACGCTATAGCCCGGGTCAGTGCAGCCCTGGCCCCGCAGGAGCCTGCAGGATTCGGAGCTCGGGCACTGACCGCCGCCTCTCGAGCCCCGACGGCACGCGCAGCCGAGCCTTCCGGCCCACGTCCCGCGGCGACGCGCTGGGCCTGAGGGGGGCCCCGCCGGGGGCCCGCTCGTCGGGCGGCCGCGCGGGCCGCGCCGTGGACTCGAGACATGGGGGCCAATCCGCGGCGCCGTCGGAGGTCCGGGCCTCGCTGCTCCTGCAGGTGGGGCGCGGGGATCTGGGCGCAGGCCGGCCGGAGGAGGGGGCGCCTCCCGAGCCCCGAGCACGAAACGGCTGCGCTCTGCCGTGCAGCGAGGGGGGAGGGCGCGGGGATGACGAGTGAGCGAGCGAGCGGTGGCAGAGGCAGAGGCAGAGTCGCTCGGAGGGCGTGCCAGATGCGCTTGAAATTGGCTGCTGCCCCCTGCAGGGCGAGGAGGAGGAGGAGGAGGAGGAGGAGGAGGAGGAGGAGGAGGAGGAGGAGGAGAAGGATCGCCTTGACTAACTAGTGAAGGTTTGGGGACTGCTACCATGGAGGGGGCTATCTCACAGACTTCCTTGATTACTGTACGAGAGGATTACCCGACACGACATTCAGGCTTACAGCTGCCTTATACACATGGGGTGATGACCCATGGAAGCTACGCCACAACAAGTGGGCCAGCGACTCTCAGCGCAGTACTGTGCAAGTGTAAATCGTTCCTCTTGTTCGGTCTTTCCTCCTCGGTTCTTATGATACTAAGGTTGTCATCTGTTGATTGTTCTCCCATCTTCCACATCGGCGGCAGGCATCGTTACTCTAGCCCTTGGGCGCTCTGCTTTGGCCCTTACTCTTTCGAGTTTCTGATCCGCACGGGTCTGCCGCCTAATTTGCTCACACCACTGCGTTACATCGGTAACTTTTCGTGGCACCAGTTGCCATCGCAACGCTGCAAGCCTCGTTTATAGGAGGGGGAGGAGGAGGGGGAGGAGGAGGAGGAGGAGGAGGAGGAGGAGGAGGAGGAGGAGGACCAAACATCTATCCCCTGACCCTCTGGGGTCCATCCTGGCTGGCTTTCCGTTCTCCTGGCCCGCGGCAACGAGCGAGCCCCGCTGTGCTCGCGATCGCCACGCTCCAGAGACCTCTGAGGTCTCGGGAGCCGTGGCGTACATAGGAGGCCAGTCCAAAGAAACCGTCCACAAGAAATCCAACCCTGAGACCCCAGGACGTCCATTGGTTTTTGGTGTGGGAACGTCACGCTTTCCATCGCAAAACCATCGAAACCCGAGAAACTCAGGGCACCCTGGAGGCAAGCAAGGTGTTTCCTGGCATAGGCCCCCACTGTAGGGCCTGAACCTCCCAGGCATTCGGCGTCGTGTCTTTGTCACGGCGCAGCTCCCCAAAGGTCTGGACCCCTCCCCAGGGCCCCGGGGACCGGCTTTGTATCCTGAGCCGTTCTTGGACGGTCCCGGGGCCAAGGAGGTCGAAACTCGTCCACAACCGCCCGTCGCGTTTGTACACGGCGCGAGGATGTCAGGGCTCCAGTGTGCCTTAGGCTGGCCCCAAGGGTCAGCGGTGAGCCCACCTGGGGCATCCTGGAGCCCTGAGGGCGGGCTCAAGAAGCCACGGTCATCGAACTAAAAGCGAATTGAAAGCATGCGTGTTGGATTTTGCTGCCATTCTCGCCCTTTTCGGCAGGAAGAATGTCCAAGACGACCCAAATGGGCCTCGAGACAGCCCAAGGACGGCGGAGAAGCTCCCAAGAGGGGCCACAGAGGCCTCCAAGATGGCCCCCTAGAGGTGTCCAAGAGGGGAGGGAAGTCGAAGGGGACTTCGGAGCCCTCCACCCCAAGACGGCCCCCAAGACCACCAGAGGAGCCCAAGAGGAGCCCAAGATGAGCCCTCCACCCCAAGACGGCCCAAGATGAGCCCAAGAGGAGGCCCCCGAGAGACTTCCAAGAGGCCCCAACGTCGCTTCAATGTTCTCTCAAAGAGACCCCTCAGAGACCCCACGAGGCCTCTAAGAGGCGGCTTGTCCGCGACCCAGGCGCAGTGGCGAGATACACCGAACGCCAATCGATAAACAATTCCCCGTCGCCGCACCACCAGACGTTTGGGTAGGGCGGGCCAGGCGTCGTTTGCTGTTCTTACCCTGAAGTTTGAATTTTCGTGGGTCGTTTTCAAAACGTGGCTTTCGCATTACTGCCGCGCGTGCTTGTCTTAACAGCTTGCAGCAGTTACACGGGTGGAGGGGGGCTCCTTTTTGAACACAGGGGGCTTCGCTGGACTTGTCTCCATGTCTTACTGTCCGAGATATGGGGTATAAAGCAGTTGCACTGATGGAGGGCGGTCTTCGTCAACATCCGCCGACCCTTCGGCGTGTGTGCGTGTGTGAGTCGCTGTCGTCGTCTTCGTGGTCGTGATCGTGGTCGTGGTCGTCGCAGGACCCACGGAACTTTAGGAACGAACCCAAGAAAAGAGACGTCGGTCGCAGTCGAGTCGATTCCCTCCCCTTTTTTCCCCTGCCTGACCGGGGGGAGGGGGGGTATGGGAGGGGTGCGCGGGAGGAATACGGGCCGGAGGGGTGCGCGGCCTCCCCTCCTCCTCCTCCTCCTCCTCCTCCTCCTCCTCCTCCTGGAGGGGGGTCCTGGGGGAGGTTCCCCCCCGGGGTCCCAACGGGTCTCGGTGGGGGCGCCAACGGGGGTGCCGGGGGAAGTGCCGCCTTCAGGGTCGGCGGCACCAGCCGTAAGGCCTTCACAATGGGGCTCTCGCGATGCACGCCCCTATCGTCTGGAGCAGAACAGTTACGCGGACGGGTGGTGGCTCTTTCCAGCATGGGATAACAGAGGGCTCTCGCTTGACACCTGCTGGAACCGTATGCTCGTTGGTGCAACGCCTTTCCTTTCTAGAACGGGCCACTGGCCTGAATGGCACATCCACGGGGCGGACGTTTTTCAAGAGGACATTCCCCAGAATGACAAGTAATACTTGTCGGGAGATATGAAGAGGGGACTTGCGGCGAGAGGGTGTGTTGCAGCATCCTCTGGTCCTCCTTCTCCTCCTCGTTGCTCCTCCTTCTTCCTCGCTCCTCCCCTCCCTCTCCTCCCTCCCTTCCTCCCTCCCCGGCGACCTCCAGAGACCTCTGGGGACCTTGCGTCACTGCCGTCGTCCTGGGGTCCTGGAAGCCAAGCCGTCGTCAGTCTGTTCTGGTCCTCCTTCTCCCCCTCGTTGCTCCTTCTTCTTCCTCGCTCCTCCCCTCCCTCCCCTCCCTCCCCTCCCCAGCGACCTCCAGAGACCTCTGGGGACCCCGCGCCGTTTTCGTCGTCCCGGGCGCCTGGAAGCCAAGCCGTCTTCAGAGGGCCCCCTGCCGGGAGATCAGCTCCTCCTTCGCAATGCTTCGGTGCGCCACTGGGCTGGGTCCCGCGCGGAGCACTGGGAGAGCTCTGTGGACCGCTGGGCACCGTGGCTGTTTGCCGCTGCCGAGGTTTCCAGAGCACCTCCCTCAGGAGCCCACGAGGAGTGTACGCGCCCAACCATGTATATGAACACGACCGCCCGATCCGCGAGACCGGCCGCGAGATATGAAAATTCGCACAATACGTACTCTCGAAACCGTCGTGATTCATGTACGTGTACGTCCTTCTTTCGCTCCTGACTTCCCGCAGGTAACGTGGCCCTTGACCTCGATGCTGGCTTCTTTGCCCTCGCAGCTGCTGTGCGAATGTCAGTGCTCAGTGCCCGTGCTGATAAGGCCACGCATCATGCATGATTGAGATGCGTCATCTGCAGGGACGCGTTCTTCTCAGTAGTTTATCCTGTGCGGTAGGCTCAGCAGTCTTAAAGTGACTTAAAGGACTCAACGGCCGCAGACAGCCGCAGCATCAACGAGGCAAGCTGGCAACAGCCATACGACTTCGGGTGATGAGACATAGTGCTGCCCGCGTGCGGCTTCAATGTAACGAAAAGACGAGGGGGGAGGATGTGGGATGGGAAACAGGTCGACCTCGGCTCGCAAGAATACCGCGCCACTCGGCCAGAACAAATTGGCACCGCAGCCCCTTTCCGCAGAACAGAGAGCACACCATTGACCCCGACTGCGTTGCAGTGGATGAGCGCCTAGAAGGCCTCTGGCCTCCTGAGAAGTTGTCTAAGTCTTCTACAGATGCCAGAGGGCGTTCGGAGAGGCCACACCACCTTCTGAGAAGGGCTGCCCCCCCCCCCCCTCACTCCCCCCCCCAGGCCGCGCCGCCGAGTAAAAGGCGCGCCTTTGCAACGCTGCCGGGGCAAATGGTGGTGCTTGTTTTTTCCCGCTCCCGGGGGGTGGGTGGGTGGGGGCACCAATGTTTTTCTGTTGCGTTGGCTCAGACCGGGAGGCGCCCTGCCCCGCCCCCTCGCTCACTGCTTCCCTGCCTCCAGCGTTCCCCCTCGTCCTTCCTCGCCCTCCTCTCTGCACGCCCATCAGCTCACCCCGCTCACAGGAATCCCTGAACAGTCACAGTGAAGGGAGGGAGTGGAGGGGAGAGGTGGGCGGGGGTCAATCAAAAGAGCGCTGCGGTGCACCCCCAGAGCCTGGAAAAGCAGACCGAGAACGAAGCGAACGCTATAGCACTCAACGACAATGCTCCAACAGCAAGCGCGCGGGCCGGCTCCCCCAAGTTGAAGAGGGCGCCAGACCCAAACCCCCGACGTTGGGTCTTTTTTCACAGCGTCGACCCCCAAAGGTCTGGGCCCCTTTCCCCGGGACCAGTCTTTCATCCCGAGGCGTCTTTTGACGGTCCGGGGGCCTGGTGAGAAGGCCCCCGGAGGCCGACATCTTTTTCTTCACAGCGTCGACCCCCATGGTCTGGACCCCTCCCCCGGGACCGGCTTTTCATCCCGAGTCGTTGTATGACGGCCCCGAGACCCGGGAAGGGCTCCGAAAGCAGCGAACAGCCTCCCGCCGTGATTGCTTCGCCGCGCGAGGGGGTCCGGGTAGGCCCCCGCCCGAGGCCGGCCTGGGCGTTGTGGATGGCCGCTCGGCCCTCCATCTCCTCCTTCTTGGTCCCCTGGCGCCCCCGGCCGCCCTCGGAGCTGCCCCGCGGCGAGCGCAGGTGTGCTGAGCGAGGGGCGCGCGGGCGCAGAACTCAGGGGCACGCACGACGTCGCCTTCCGCAGGGCCACCGCGAGCCCTGAAGATCGCCATGGGGGTAGCGGGTCCTGAGGGACACGGGTCCTCAGGCTTTTCGCCGCTGCAGGGCCCT